ATGATCATACCAATCAAAGATTCAAATTAACATACAAAATACAAAATACATTCCAAAAATACAATGCTAAAAGTATTCCCGCATCCCTGGTCGTTCAGCACACGCTCTATCCGCGCAACTCAACGAGTGAATCTATGAACTCAAAGTAACACCCATTTTCTCCGCTCTGTCTCCGGCTGCTAAAAGCTCCAACGTTAGAATGGGATTTCGAGTTTCACGATTTCGGCGAGCGGGTGTCTCGGCTGTGACGGGAAATTTGTGAGGGGCCAAGTCCGCTGCGTGGGTACGGTTTGGAGAACGAGAGGGGCAGGGGATAAGTAGGTGGCGAATGAGGGAGAGAGCTATTGGATCATCATGAATGGATACACATATACACATGCACACACACACACACACACCACACACACACACACACACACACACACACACACACACACACACACACACACAGTCATATATATGTGTATGTTTGTGTGTTTATCATATTTGAGTATGTATTTGTGTCTGAAATATATCTCCTTAAACGAAATTTCCAGCAAGACTTAGCAACGCGCAACTACCATTTTGCTCATCATAGAATATAAAGGAAAAGATAAAGGAGTTAGCAACACCTCCTTGTACATACAGCTTCCCTCGCCCTGGAACGGCATCACAACCAAACGTCATCTCAGAGTCACGTCAGAAAGTTAATCTCCCTCTCCTGTCACCTTGAAGTGTCTCATCATCAATCATAATCTAATATCCTTACCGATGTTTAAATCTCAAAACGTTATCCTATTTTATTTGCTGCAATAAGAAAAATCCAATAAAATGTTGTCAGAGATCTCGTCTAAACGCATTTAGGATACTTACCGATTCCGAGTCATTTTTGTTTTGGTGATATGCAATTTGGTATAGTTTTATAATATCGATAGCAATGGCTGGAAATGGCGACAACAATTGTAATAATGACAAAAACAAGACATATTTATGCTTAAAAACTACTGCTACTTCTACTGCTATTACTACTAACAATACTAACAATATCATTAACAATATTAACAATTAAAATGATAAAACAATCAAAAATGATTTGGGCAATAATAATAATAATACCAATAATATTAATAATAATATTAATGATAATGATAATGAAAATAACAATAATGATAATAATAACAATAAAAATATAAATGATAAGAATAATAATGATACTAAGGATAATAAAATAAATAAAAATAGTAAGAATAATAATGGTAATAAGGATAATAATAAAAACAAAAACAATAATAAGAATTGTGAAAAAAAATATTTTTTTTTTGTAAAAACCACAGCACAATAGAAACAACAGCAACAAAAATTATAATAAAGCTAACACCGCTACAGCCAGTGCCGTACCACCCATTACCGCTGCTAACAACAGTTACCGCAATAACCACAATAAGAGGCATAATACAATAAGAGCAATACCTAAAACAGAGTATCTCGCCCCCATTCTGCCCGGCGGTGGCCTCAGATTCCCAAACTTTTCTCGCAAACTTCTTAAAGCAGAGAGTGTTCTTGTACAAACACGAGCCCAGCGGTAGCAAACTTTGCCTCACATGCCCTGGGCTGATACTCCTTGTTCACACTTGTCATATTAAGTAGTTTCGTGTGACCTCGTTCCTGTGATTACGAGAATGCCTGAAATTCACAAGCATTTCCCGTTTCCAGTGTTGGGAAAGTTGTAAGCAGGTAAGATGTAAATAAAAAGGACTTGAATGTGAAAAGGAAAGATGGTATACGTGTGTGTCACTCCCATTCCAGAGGGGGGTGTTTGAAAGCCTTATATAAAGAGATTCTAAGTAGACCAATAAGATTTTTTTTATCGTTTACGTATGCAAAAATAAGAGAACATATATAGCCGGTTTCAATCATGCTATGTAACTTGGTTCTCTTACAACTAATTGTTTATGCTTGCATCATCCAAGACAAAGATCTTTTTTCTCTTTTTGTTACTTCCGAGACGGACTCTTAATACCAGCGTAATGTAGCGGAAATGTGCATTTTTACATGAACCGGATAATAAATCTACAGTAAACCAGCGCCACATCTCTTGATCCGGTGCCTACTACATCCGTGAGGCGAAGATATTACCCTACTCCCAAGGTCCTCTGCGAGCTAGTTGTAATTCTATACTCTTCAGTGATATCTGGGAGTTGTAGTTTTATTAGATAATTTTTTTTCGGATTTGTTGAATGTTTTTGTTTGGATATGATTTTTTTTTGTCCTAACAAAGATAATGTTCGAGCACTGAGAAATAGATTAAGATATTACGATGATCTAAGTATGTCTTTTATATAAGTTATAGCTACTTGTTTTATTGCACTCAATGTGTTACAGATCAGTTTGTTTGTGTCGATATACCGCTTATTATTCTAATTTAGAGGATTTTATAAGAAATTCCTTCGCCACAACCAAACCTTTATAGATCATAAGAGACGTAGAAATATTCCCTGGGTTTTCCTTCACCCACTGCTAT